ATATATATATATATATATATATATATGCAACAATTAAAGAATACGAACTCTTAATTCCTAAATTTGAAGAAACATTTAATCTTATGACCAAAATTCCAAAATATGCTCATTTTAACTTCTTAAACTTGGTAAATAGTTTTAATTAGCCTCCGCGTCAATTTTCTAACAATGAAACTAAAGGAAGTTTGGTAAATGTTCTTTTTTCTGGTTGAATGGAGCTCATTTTCAATTTTCTAAAAATATAAGCGTTTAGTAATGGTTTTGTAGAAATTTGGAAAAAAAACATCATTTCTGATTTCTTTTCCAGTTTCTAGTTTTTATCAAAATATAAATAAAAGTGTTATTTTATCCTACTTATAAAATATAAAGGAAATATTAAAAAGTAAATATTATATAAAAATTTAAAATATTTATTTATAAATCCTCATATTAAAATTTTAATTAAACAAATATATATATATATATGTATGTATATTTCAGTAAAAAATAATAAATAATTATCAAATATCTCTATGTTTCTTTTTCAATAAAGAAAAGGATAATAAACAAGAAATAATTATTAAAAACAGTTTGTTTTTAATTTATTAAAAATTAAGAAACAATAAATAAAAACTTACCAAATCAGTCTTTTAAGTAGACTTTTTATTTTTTAAAATGATGTGGGCATCCTTTTTTGGCTTGAAATGAGAGGAGAAAATAAGGAGGGGAAGAAGAAGAATAATGTCATAAGTAAAAAATATATATATGATTAAAACAATTTCTCAAATTATTTTAAAGTAGATCAATCACATGATAAAGTCCTTCATTGTTCAACTTATCCACCCATCGTTTCATAAATATCATGAAAATAATATTAATTTAAACCATTTCTAAATATCGCATTTAAAATTTTATAAATTGAAATAAAGAGGGTTTCAAAATTTTCCTAAAAATTAAAAAAAATGCAAAATAAATAGGGAAAGAAATCATTTAAACTAAATAGTTGGGCCCTGGGGGATTTAATATACAACTGAGACGGAGAAAAAAAATAAAAATAAAAATAAAAAAGGCATGCTTTGAACATGGGAATGCCATTAAATGCATCTTATCCCTTCGCATCCAATCCACAAGGCTCACAAATTTCCCTTTTCTTTTTTAATTTTTTTTAAACATTTCCTTTTTAATTTTAGTTTACTTTGGTATTTTATAGTAAATTACAAGTTGAGTCTCTCAATTTTTAAAATTTATATGTAACAGGTCTTTAAATTTTAAAATGTGTTTAATAGGTCATCTAGTATTCAATTTTGAGTTCTTAATAGATCTATTATTTTTTTTACTTAAAAAAATGTCTAATCAATTCTTGAAATTTAAATTTCTTAATTTTTAATTTTTTGTCTAGTAGATCCCTGAATACGACATTTTAAAAATTAATGAATCTATTACATATAAATTTTTGAAATTTTTGTTTAATAGGACATTGAATTTTTTGTTCCTCCTTAATAAGTTCGTGAAATTTTAGGAATATTGATTAGATCAATAGACCTATTAAATACAAACGTAAAAGTCCAATGATCAAAAGAAACGATATCGACAGCTATTAGATACAAAATTAAAAGTTCAGATACTCATTAGAACTTTTTGAAGTTCACGAAGCTATTAGACATAAACATAAAAATTCGGGGATTAAATTTGATTTGTAACTTAACCTATTTTATATTAGGTAAATGTCAATTTTAATATTCAATAAATTAAAAATTGTGTTAATTTGACGAAGTTATAGCTTTTATTAGCTTCAAGTTTTCAAATCTCTCTTAATGGAGAATCCATTTTCATTTTGTGCGGTTTTGCTAAAAGGAAAAATAATTCCCTTTTTAAATTCTACTTTTGCTCCAACAAGAAGCAATTCCATTCTTTCTTTTTTGAGTGAGAGAATTATTGTACTATATATTATACCACTAATTATAAATTTGTCATGTATAATGGAAAATGTAAGAAAATTAAAAAAATGAATATATAATGATTTAAAACAAATTAACTAATATAGTTTTTTTTTTTGGTGGGGTGCTTGTTTGTTACATCAAACATGTAGCAGACACATTTATACAATAATCTGATTATGTAAAAACCGCGTATTGATAAAATCTTCTAAAACCATAATTAGAAATATTTCAAAATCCTTCCAATTATTAATTAATGTCTTTGCTGATCTGGCATGCAATTAACGTGGCATTATTCTTAATTAAAAATTTCCACGTGTCAACATCCGCATCTTTTGACCCGGTGCCTTGTCCGGTTCACTAATTTTGTCTAAATATTAATTACTCTGCTTTTGCATCGCTTCTTCTCCAAGTGTTTTTCTTTTTTCACCTTACTGAAATATTTTTATATTATATAACCGATCCATAAATTTAATTAATATTTCTTCCTTACTAAATAACAAGGGAAAAAAAATTCATCATGTGTTGTTCTGTTACACTATAATTATTTTTTTTATTATTCAATGAAGGGAAACACCTAGGTGTCCTTTCTCAATAATTTCCCAAATAGGGTAGGCAATTTTTATACATAAACAATTTATCGACTCATTAAATATTTTTTTCGTAATTGTTGCTACTTTTATAAAGATGAAATATTTTAATTTCCCGTCTAAAATACGATACCAAAATACCTATTTTGGCCTTCACGGAGAGAGGAAAAAAAAATCTAGCCCAATATACATGGGACAGAGTACAGAATTTAGTTGTCTCGTCTTGCTTAGACATTGTGCTTCTGCACCGAATACCCTCAGGAGATCTCAGTGTTAATTTCTTTTTTTTTTTTTTTACTTTTTTTTTTACTTTTTGGGTTTTTAAATTGTTGGATCTTCGTAAGGGAGAAGGTTCTAAGAGGAGTTTCGGAGCTGCAAAGATTTCAGAACACTCTGTTCTCGTAAACTAAAACAGAGCCAACGGGACTGTTTGGTTGGGGGGATTCCAATTTTCCGGGAAAGAAAGTGGAGAGAAAAAAGAAAATGAGGGATCATATTGCTTTCAATTTCTCAAACAGCCCATTTCTCAAATCTTGTTTTTTCTTCTTCTTATGTACTCTGATTTGTGGCTTTCAGAATACCAAACTCTGCTCCTCCTTAAACCCAGCGCTTGTTTTGCCTTTGAAAACCCAAGTGATTCCGCCGGAATCCGTCCGGCGATCTCCCGACAAGCTTCCATTCCGGCATAACGTCAGCCTCACCGTTTCTCTGACGGTGGGCACGCCGCCGCAGAACGTCACCATGGTCATCGACACCGGCAGCGAGCTCTCGTGGCTCCACTGCAACAAATCACAGAATTCTTCTTCAAATTCGTCCTCCACATTCAACCCGATCCGGTCATCCTCGTACTCTCCGATCCCTTGTTCTTCGTCCACCTGCACCGACCAGACACGGGATTTTCCGATTCCGGCATCTTGCGATTCCAATCAACTCTGCCACGCCACTCTGTCCTACGCCGACGCCTCCTCCTCCGAAGGGAATCTTGCCGCCGATACGTTTTACATCGGAAATTCCGGAATTTCCAATGTAGTTTTCGGTTGTATGGATTCAATTTTCAGCTCCAACAACGAAGAAGACGCCAAAAACACCGGATTAATGGGTATGAATCGCGGATCTTTGTCATTTGTTTCGCAAATGGGTTTCCCCAAGTTTTCTTACTGCATATCGGAGTATGATTTTTCCGGTTTGTTACTCCTCGGAGATGCTAATTATTCATGGCTGGGGCTGGCTCCGTTAAACTACACTCCATTGATCCAAATGTCGACCCCGTTACCTTATTTCGATCGCGTCGCTTATACGGTCCACCTCGAAGGGATCAAAGTTTCGAACAAGTTGCTTCCGATACCGGAATCGGTTTTCGAACCGGACCACACCGGAGCCGGCCAAACCATGGTCGACTCGGGCACGCAGTTCACGTTCCTTCTCGGACCGGCTTACACCGCGCTCCGGGACGAGTTTCTGAACCAAACCGCCGGTTCGATTCGGGTCCTCGACGATCCGAATTTCGTCTTCCAAGGAGCCATGGATCTTTGCTACCGGGTTCCGCTGAACCAATCCCGACTCCCGCCGCTCCCGGCGGTGACGCTGGTGTTTCGCGGCGCCGAAATGACTGTTTCCGGCGACCGTATTCTGTACCGAGTTCCCGGAGAAATAAGGGGAAACGATTCTATCCACTGTTTCACATTCGGAAACTCGGATCTTCTCGGCGTGGAAGCGTACGTGATCGGGCATCTTCATCAGCAAAACGTGTGGATGGAATTTGATCTACAGAAGTCCCGGATCGGCTTGGCGGAGATTCGGTGCGATTTAGCGGGTCAGAAATTGGGTATGGGCCTGTAAATAACCCGGGCCCACTCCGTAGCCCATTTGATGGAGGCGTTTTAACTATCGTGGTAACTCAGCACGTGATATTGATTAAAATCTTACGGGTTTTGGTGTGTAGTCCGTAGGTCCATGCTATTATGGTGGTCCTTCCGCTTTTAATACCGTCCGTATGTGGGCCCCCCCGCCATCTGTGATATAGAAAAAGCAAGTTTGATCCGACCAGTGTAGTGAATTTGAGTGAGATGCGATGTCGCCACGTGTAAGGACAGTTTTCTTTTCTTTTCTTTTTCCCTCCCTCTCCTTCTTGTACATTTTAAATATTCATGAGCTTTTAATGTAATAACATATATTTATGTATGCGAAGTAAAATATGAACTATTTATAATATTTTTTTTGAGACAATATATATTGTGTGACACAAATGGCCAAACATTTAATGCAGATATTGAAAAATTCAATAAAGTAACCTAACAAATCAAGAGACTCAGAGGAGGTTTTGACCAATATTAATATGTATTACATCTATGCCACGAGACTATGTTGAAAAATTTAGAAATTTAATGAACAATAGAAATTCTAAACACGCATCTATAATGTATATAAGGCTTCATTTATTCGATGTTTGAAATTTGGACAATTTTAAAAATTATAGATGTAACTTTGAATCTTAAATATTGTACCTACTAAATCTAATAATTGGGGTGTAGCAAAGAAAAAGGAAGTAACCAAGAATTTTATTCTCGGTGCTCACCCATTTCAAATTTTTAGTGAAATTGTGAGTTAAGAGTTTTAAGCTTTTTTGCTTTCCTAAAAGGTTGTAATTAAATGTTATATAACAAATATTAGCATCCTTAAGTTAATAATTATACTATTTATTATTTTAATTTATTAATTTTAAACAAATATTTAATTACTTTCATTAAGACTTTTTTCAAATTTGGTAGGAAAATAAATTGATTTTTTAAATATAATTATTTCGAAAATAATTTTTAGAATATGGGGTTTGAATCTATTCTCTTAATTAACTTTAATCTCTTTGGGCCAATGAACAACTCATGATAGTTAATTAAATAATTAGGATTTATTTAGTGAAAATTGGATTTAGATTTGATTTGTGATAGACGTAACAATTTTTTCTCTCAACCTTCGTAAATTCGTCTCTTGAAGATATGTCATATTTTCATCGTCCAAATTAAAAAAGTAATACTTTAAAATTACTTCCGAAATTAATTTGTTGGTTTTCTTAACGATATTAAAGTCAATGTCCCATTGATGGGATATAATCATATAAACATTAATAAATAAAAACAGTTATTAAAAATTTTGGGATGGGCTAGGATAGGGTTGGGCCGACGGGGTTGGAGACTCCCCGTCGTTCACAGTGAGTCTAAATTGTTATCCGTATCGTCTATTTAGTCATTTTAAAGAAATAATTATGCCTTTAAATTTTAAGTTATAATTCTACCCAATCGCTACATTTAATGCATACAACGAGATGCTAGCATAAAATAATAATTAAATTATTTTAATTGTCGATTTTCTTTTTGAGTACAATATGTGTGGGTGAGGGTGGGGATCGAACTCACAACTTCATAGTTGGGATTAGTCGTCGATTTGAATATTGTTCGATTCGTTAAGATATACATTGTCGACTTTAATATAGTTGTGGAATTCATTAGAAATCTTTGAGTTAATCTTACACCCGTTGAATAATAAAAAAGATATATGGTACGTAAGTAGAGCCAACTATTTTCATAAAAACGAGATTTATTAGGTGGAATTATGACAATTTTATTGTAATAAGTGGTATCACAAAAGATTATTTTGAAATTTCTTCCCAAATATGATTGAATGGACTCACATTCATAATTATATTAGTATGAAAATATTAATGTGTCAAATTATTTAGTTATGTGTGTCATTTTTTCAACTAACAAAATAGCCATATGAAACTTCCATTAGAGTTTAAATCAAAGAACCACCAGAGGTTGCAGCCTTGGAGTTGGTTAAAACATTATATTCCTTCTTAGCTTTTGATTGGAAGGTGCCACCAATTGGAGGTTGAAGGCTGCCTCATAGCCCAACCCAATTCCATTTCCTCAAATTTATATTCATTGATTATTCTTATATGACAAAATTTCACAAACATTTTTTCTTACTCTAAGAAATCAAAATTCCAATATTTATTATTTCAATCGAGTTAGAACAATACTCAATGTGCTAACCGGTCAATATCTATCTTCTCAATGATTGTGACATTTTTTAAAACATTTTCTTTTCTGCGTTTTTTTATCCTATTTGACAAAAAAATTAACGAGGATAATTATTCATGTTAAAATATGAACTATTATAAATAGTTCAAATTTGTCAACATAAAAAAATTAAATTTGAAATTGATCATTCTATATAAATATGAATCAGATCATAGTATATATCTAGAATCATTAAAATAAATGTAGAATTAAAAGAAAAAAAAAGTGGTGTGCTGCTGAATTTGTTTGTTTTGTTTTTTCATGTGGACATGAAATAGCTTGTTAATAAGACAAGTCAATATCTCTGGGGAAAATGTAAAATGAATTTTGGTTTAACCAAACCTTCAATTTCACTCTAAAACAAAGCTTGAGCAGCAGCTACAAGTTGAGGTTGAAAGACTCATAAAATATACCCAAAAGAAAAAAAAAAAAAAGAAAAAAAGTGTTGTTAAATCACCTAATTAACCAACCCAACCCATTGATTTCCTCCTATAAAAAAACACTCATTTTCTGTCATTCTCTTCATCCATCCATCAATCCCACAAAATCAGAACCAAAAAGGAAATCAAGAACAGCCCATCAAAAATGGCTTCTGCCTCTCTAAAACCCTTCTTCTTCTTCTTCTTCTCTGCCTTCTCTGTTCTTCTCTGTCTGCTTCCTCCCATGGCCAATGCAGGAATCACCAGGCATTACAAGTTTCAAGTGAGCTCCATTATTCTTCACCTTTTGCATTACCAAATTATGCAACCTTCTCCTCTTAACTTTGCTGTCAAATTCTTTGCAGATACAATTGCAGAATGTAACAAGGCTCTGCCAAACGAAGACAATCGTCACCGTTAACGGGCGGTTCCCGGGGCCTAGAATCATCGCCAGGGAAGGTGACCGCCTCTTAATCAAAGTTGTCAATCACGTCCGAAACAATATATCCCTGCATTGGTACGCATCAACTAACAAAGTTAATTTCATCCCCACCTTATAAATCATTCGTTAGACCTGAAAGTTTAAGTTAATAGATTACGACATATGTGCATTCAGGCACGGGGTGCGGCAGCTGAGGAGCGGGTGGGCGGATGGGCCTGCATACGTGACACAGTGTCCAATCCAAACAGGGCAGAGCTATGTGTACAATTTCACAGTGAGTGGGCAGCGGGGGACATTGTTCTGGCACGCTCACATCTCATGGCTGAGGTCAACTGTGTATGGCCCATTGATCATTCTCCCCAAAACCCACCAGCCTTACCCTTTTCCCCAACCTTTTAAAGAAGTTCCCATCATTTTTGGTAAGATTTGTGTTGAAATGTTGATAATTTGAATCTCCTTTTCTTCTGGGTAGTGATGAAAATTTGATTTTATTCGAATGGGGAAATGGGATTTTGCAGGGGAGTGGTGGAAGGCTGATACTGAGGTTGTCATCAACCAAGCCATGCTAACTGGTGGTGCTCCAAATGTTTCTGATGCTTACACTTTCAATGGCCTCCCTGGCCCCTCCTATAATTGCTCTGCTCAAGGTACTATGAATTAATGCTTCATTCCCATTTCTAATACTTCTCCAAAATTTACCGAGAAATGGTTACAAAAATTTTAGAACGGTGTCTAATCTGACTTTAACAAACATAAATGTAGACTGAAAGTTTAAATACAGACATTAAGATTTTGACGTCAATATTGAAATGTTTCTGCAGATACCTTCAAGCTCAAGGTAAAGCCAGACAGAACCTATCTTCTCCGACTGATAAATGCGGCACTCAACGAGGAGCTCTTCTTCAGCATTGCCAACCACACGGTCACCGTGGTCGAAGCCGACGCCGTTTACGTCAAGCCCTTCAAAACCGACGTCGTTCTCATTTCTCCAGGGCAGACCATGAACGTGCTACTTCACACCAAATCCAACGCCCCCAATGCCACCTTCCTCATCGCCGCCCGGCCCTACGCCACCGCGCCGGCCGCCTTCGACAACAGCACCGTCACCGGATTACTCGAATATGAACCCACCAACACTAAGGCCCTGTCGAATCTGAAGGGGAAGAAAAATAAGCCTTTTCCTCTTATGAAACCGGCACTTCCCCGGTTCAATGACACGAGTTTTTCGATGAGATTTAACAGGAAGATTCGTAGCTTGGCGAATTCGAAGTTTCCGGCGAAAGTGCCGAAGAGGGTTGATCGGAGATTCTTTTTCACGGTGGGTTTGGGGCTGCAGGCGTGCCAGAGGAACCGCTCCTGCCAAGGCCCCAACAACACCAGGCTATCGGCGTCCATTAATAATGTCACGTTCGTGCAGCCAAATACGGCTCTTCTTCAAGCCCACTTCTTCAATCAATCTAACGGCGTTTACACCGCCGATTTTCCGGCCAATCCGCCGTTCAAATTCAACTACACAGGTACGCATTCACTGGCGCAGCCAGCCAATTTAAAAGTATTTAATAAGTATTCTAAAAATGAAAATACTCTTTGTTGACCATTATGAAAAAATTGACATCTTATTATTGTTATTATTTTTAATTATCTGTTTAGTTGTCAAAGGTAAAGTTTAGAATCTTTGCCTCGGCACTGCAGGTACGGCGCCGAAAAACTCAATGGTGAGCAGAGGAACAAAGGTGGCGGTGGTGCCGTACAACGCCACCGTGGAAGTGGTGATGCAGGACACGAGCATCATCGCTGCGGAGAGCCACCCGCTCCACCTCCATGGCTTCAATTTCTTCGTGGTGGGTCAGGGGTTCGGGAATTTCGACCCGAACAAAGACCCGCCCAAATTCAACCTCGCCGACCCGGCCGAGAGGAACACCGTCGGCGTTCCGTCCGGCGGCTGGGTGGCGATCCGGTTCGTCGCCGACAATCCTGGGGTTTGGTTCATGCACTGCCACCTGGAAGTCCACACAAGCTGGGGACTGAAGATGGCCTGGATTGTCAACGACGGTCAACGGCCGAATCAGAAGCTGCCGCCGCCGCCCTCCGATCTGCCCAAATGCTAAAATTTTCTCTGTTTCTGATCGGAGACATTCCCGAAGGGAAAACTAGAAATAGGAAATTTGGTGGAGAGGTTTTCTTTCAGTGGTTCTTCTGTAGCTTTGAAATTTTCTCCTTTCAATTCAATTGAACGAGTGTAATAATTCAAATTTTGAACTTTTTATTCATTCCCAACTTAAAATTGTTGTCCAATTATGAAAACCATTATTACTAATTTTAGTCTAACTAAAATATTAATATATCAATAACTGGTCTCAAAGTTGGAATCTCCTAACTCCTAAGATTCTAAAGTGTTTTTCAGTACAATATGTAAGGGTGAGTTGAACTCACCATATTGATCTGTTACTCATGAATTTTACATCATACCATAATAGTTTTGATCACAAATTTTTAGACATGATATAAGTTTAGTTAATTTCCTTAGCTAAAAAACAATGGTTCTTAACTTTTCTTTTGTTTAATTTTTTATTGTAGATTTCTTCTACTATTGAATTTTTAACTTTTGTTAGGTTAATTTTGTTACCACTTTAATAAACTTCTTCAGTTGTAATAAAATAAAAAAATAATAATAAATAAACTTCTTTATAATTTCTAAAATTAGGTGTAATCTTGTTTTCAAAACCAAAAAAAAAAAAAAAGAAGAAGTTAGGTGATCTAAAATTATTGTATGGATATGGTACCAAGATTACTCAATCCAAAAAGATAAACGACTTCCATATTTTTTCTACGAGTCAAAGATATGTCATAAGTGATTTTCTAAATTAGTAATAATAATGATAAAACAGTCTAAATTTTCAGCAATCACTTTATCCAGAATTTCTTTCTTCATTTCTATATTGGTTTATATTTCAATTTAAAAATAGGTTAAAAGTATCCTAATTTTCTTGCGTGAGATATTGGATAAAAGATATAAATTTTGTAAACCTCCAACAACAATATTTAAAACGTCTACTCACAATGACACAATTCAACATCTTTTCCGACTAAAAAAGTTGGGCCATCCTTCCTAAATTTTCCTTACTTAAACACAATTTTGCTGTTATTATTACGTGATATAGTATTAACCTAATCAATATCTGTCAATCAACTTAGGTAGGTTGATTTAAATATATATTTTAATGTATACATTCAAAAGTTATGATATACCTTAATTCATAAGGACCAATATAATTATTATTTTCTAAATTTGTAGGCTAAAATGAATATTGTAAAAGTTGATAGAAAATAAAATAAACTTAAATGAGAGACCCAAAAGAAATAATTATAAAAGAATGACATTTCTTATTTTAAGACGACCTTATACATTATTTAAATGTATGATTTTTTTTTTCCTTTTTGAGAAAGTTATTTAAAGATATATGTAATATCATTGTGTTATTTTCAAATATATATTTGAAATATTTGACAAATGGAAATATTATATTACCATACGCAATAAGCTTCCAAACTAATTAATTTACTGATGAGTACCCACCTAAAAGGGGAACGCTTTCGTTAGAGGAACAAACCAAGGCCCAAATTCGTAAAACGCAAGCTATCGGTGCCGCTGGACTTTCTACATTTAAGCGCTGGTCGCTTGCTTCTGAACCTCGCAATTCCAACCGGAAGAATTCCCCTTCCTCGCCGGAGCCGCCGGTGGGTCTCCTGCACCCGCTTCCCAATAAGATGAAGCGGGGCTTTAATTTTTCTCCTCCTGTGGCTGTCGTCGTCTCGGCAATCTCCTTGATCTACTTCTCCACAATCTTCATCTTCATCGAACGGTGGTTCGGCCTCACGTCGTCGCCCGGAATTATGAACGCCGTCGTTTTCACCGCCGTGGCCCTCATGTGCACCATCAACTACGCCCTCGCTATCTTTACAGATCCGGGTCGGGTCCCTTCGACATATATGCCTGACATTGAGGACTCCGGAAGCCCTATTCATGAGATCAAGCGTAAGGTACCGAATGCTTGGTGTTGCCTTTCAATTTACTACTGCTTTCATCTTTCCTTTTGCTTAATTTGGTCATTACGAATCTTTCACCGAGTAAAATATGTATGATTTGGAATATTTTGGAATATCGTTGTCGTAGATCTTATTCCTTTGATCTCATTTTGAACGGGTTTTGGAATTGAAGTTTAAAAAATTTAGTCACCGCCATAGTTTTGTTGTTAGCTATGGCAAGTTTGACCTCTCTCTCTCTCTTCTTATTGACGAATTAGTCGTCACATTGTCGGGAAAGGAGGAACTTAGCGTATCAATTGTATACTTCTATGAAACATCTTGATCTGCAAAAATTATACAAAAGGAACGAATTCATAGAGCCTGATTAGCGTTTAGGTGATTCATTTTCATACTAACAGAACTAATTGATGAAGAAAACTTGATAGAATCTATAATGATTAATTCGATTTCATTATTATGATCTTTTAAGGATTGAGTTTTATCGATTACATTGCAGGGAGGTGACCTGAGATACTGCCAAAAGTGTGCTCAATATAAGCCTCCTCGTGCACATCATTGCCGAGTTTGCAAAAGATGCATTTTGCGAATGGTACGTATAGTTTTTATATAATACCCCATAATTTTATTTTGTAGATTTTGTGCTGAAGGACGTTCATAAACTGTAAAGGACCACCATTGCATTTGGATAAATAACTGCGTTGGCCATGAAAACTATAAGGTGTTCTTCGTGTTTGTCGTGTATGCTGTAGTCGCATGTATCTACTCCCTGGTAAGTCATTAAATGCAATGTGATTTAGACTCTCTATTTACACTTTATTAGCTTATTTACTTGTTCAATCAATTAATTTTTTCTTTGTTTCTTTTCGCCCAATTCCTTGCCCTGTGTTTTACTTATCTATGTAGTTGCCTGCAGGCGTCATGGTATTAAAAATTGTTTTATTGTCTGCTGAATCTTCAGGTATTACTCATTGGAAGTCTTACAATTGATCCTCCTAAGGATGAGCAGGAAGTTGGGGGCTCTTTTAGGACTGTATATGTAAATACATACTGTGTCCTGGCTTTTTTTCCTTTTGGAACTCTTCATGCTTGTTTTTCCATCCCTGTGTTTGGTTCATATTAGTTACTTTGCCCATTGTCTCTGATACAGGTTGTTTCTGGTCTGTTGCTATTCCCTTTATGTATGGCTTTAAGTGTTCTTTTAGGTTGGCACATTTACCTAATTTCACACAACAAGACTACAATAGAGGTTAGTTCTGAAAGGCTACGTTTCTTGTCAGTTAGATTGGCAGCGAATTTGTGGTTTAGGCAGATTTACCAGGAATTTTGTTTGCTTTGTAGTATCATGAAGGAGTAAGAGCCATGTGGCTCGCGGAGAAAGGTGGGAATATGTATTCCCATCCATATGATCTTGGCGCCTTTGAGAATCTTACCACGGTACTTAATACAGTTCCCCTTCCTCCATTTTGCCCTTTTTTATAAGAGAGAAACCACCGGTGTCCTAAAACAACCTAGGGTCATCTATCTCTATATTAAATGTTTGTTTTGACACCTAGAAAAAGAAAAGGCTCGAGATGTATGCTGATCATGAAGCGTGGAAAATGTAACATAATAACTGAATAATGTATTAACTTAGTTGCCAGGCTGTCATTTTTTGGCATTTGAACATGAAATTTATTGGACTGTACAACCTAGAATGAACTCATACGTTGTCAGTTGGCTTTCATGGACACATGAATTTTTTAATAGACAGGACTGTTTAAATGTAGTATCAGCTGGTGACCTTCCAACTTTGTACTTCTGGTTTTCTGAACACAAACTTTTACAAATATAACTGAATGTAGGACTGTCCAGGATCAAAAAAGAGTCTTAATTGTATGCTGTCTGATCTTTTCTATCTCATAACTACAGATTCTTGGTCCAAATCTATTGAGCTGGATATGTCCCACATCACGACATAAAGGCTCTGGTCTTCGATTCCGTACAGCCTATGACAAATCTAGTAGTGCATCAATGTGAAGAAGGAAGTTTCATCCCCCATTGTTTTAGAAGAACAAGATAAGCTCCTCTCAATTACCATCTAAGGATTCATAATTACTGAGCTCTTCAGCAGAGTGGTGGTGTTTTGTAGAACCCAAATCTCAGACAGCATTCTAACTGTTCACTGCCATGACACGTCGGAGAGTTACTGAGGTTGTCTGTCACAACCTTTTCCTTGTCGACATCGAGAGCTCAGCTAATCCGTTCCGGGTATGATTTATCCTTTCCTGTTGGCATTTCAGAAAACCCATTGATGTTAGGGTATGCAGAACAATGAAGTTTATAGGTTAACGTAGAAAAGAGAGATCACAGACGAAGCCAGTTCTTTTTTCCTTTTTGTTTTATGTACATGAGTTCTTTCACCACGCTAACAAATTGTTTTCTGTAGTTGTAGCTCTGTAACTTGTAACAAAAAATGGAGGTAAATTGCAATTAAGATAAAATGTAATCTTTTTTTTTCCCTTCTTAATTGTGGCTCTACATTATATTCTGCTTAGTTTTTAGTTGTTTCTCCATCTATGCTTCTTTTTTATTGAAGCTTAAGCCTTTAATGCTCCAAAGTTCAAGTTACCAGTTTTTCTTTTTTCTGAAGAAAAATAAAGAGAATAGAGGATTTATGAAGCCAGAATCCACCACATCAAAGGAGATAATCTGTTTCTAATATTTTCCCTTTTTGAAAAGACATCTTTTCTGTTCTATATTCTTATTTTGATTATTCATTGCTTTGGTTGGTTAGATATGTTAATTAAAAGGTGGAAAATACTTAGCTCACGAGGATTATTCCAACCTACATTAATACATTAAAAAATTGATAGCTCATTATTTTTGCATCTCGTTTTCTTAATTGTTAAATATTTGGTGGGGGTTACTTGTGTATAATTTCAAAGAAAGGGCTCCTATTTTGTCTCTCTTCTTTTCTTAATACGACATTTATAGAATGAGATTGACCGACAAAAACCACCTTTTAAAATTAAAAGAGAGACTCCTCATATTTCCTTAAAAAGAAAAAAAAAAACAAACTCTTCACATTTGCCAGAGATGCAAAGATGCAATGGATTGGTCCTTAAAATGAGGAGGGCCTGTTACTTTCTTTGGTACAACATGTAGGGTCATGATTTTTTAATTGGATATAGGTACTTAAATCAGTTGAGTTATGCTTAGGTTTAACAAAGTTTAGTAAATTTTTTATTTTGTCTGAGAGAATAACATTAATCCTTATTGTTAACACCTATTATTCTTATGCATTACATTTATTTATATTTTTTATAATTGGGAGGCGGAATTTTGCTTTCCTATCCCTCGGGTACCTACACCAGCCTTAACGTTCGAACCTAGGAGGCATCAAGAATTTTTAATGGTTTATGGAACTTTGAACCTAACTGTTGTAATCCTATAAAGAGTTGTACTGAAAAGATAACTCAAGTGATAATTATACTTTTCTCTAGGTTGTCTTCATTTAGCAACAAAACTTCAAAATCCAACCACTATTATTTTAAATCAAACCAACATGTAATAATTGAATTTTGTACTTAAAAAAAAAATCTCCTTTCTTTTATTGTTTTTAGTGTTCTTATTTTGTGCGTGTTTTAAAATGATTGGCACTTGAACTAAAAAAGATTGGTTCGAGTTTAGCAACAAAACTTCAAAGTCCAACCACAATTATTTTAAATCAAACGAACATGTAATAATTGAATTTCATAATAAATATATTATATTTTAGACCCTTTGTACTTTCCATTAAAATGATATTTTAACGTTTCAAATTCTTTTTCAACAATTATAGGAGTGGAGGATCCATCTATTTTTTTTTTAGTATAAGTACAATAAATATAGAGATGGCAATCTAATCCTCAAAGAGGAAATAAATGAGATGCTTTACCCATTTAACAACCGTTAATGTTGGCAAGACTCGTCGGTTTGGTATTTAAGAAACTCAGTCATGGATGATTCATCATAATTATCCCTACATTATCCGTAATGTAATATTCTAAAAAAAGGAAAAAAGAAATATAAATTCCGGAAGTAGTAGCTGTCAAGAATTATCTTTAAAAATACTTGGGAGAAAGATGAGGGGAATGGGCGAATGGGATTTTGGGGCAAAGGAAGCAATATCCTCGTGCCACCCACGTGAACCCGAAATGGACGTGTCTCTGTCTCACTCTGACTCAGTGGGCGCGCACCAATCACACCCAATTTCCTTCCCCACTTTCTTCCTTTTTCTTCGGATCATATAGCTGCAGTAAGTTTCCACTTTTCAATTCCTCAAGCATCTGCGCCTCCAAATTCACAGCTTTCTCGCTTCTTCCTTCTCCAGTTTCTTCGATTTTATTTCTGGGTTTTGGGTTTTGGGTTTTGGGTTTGGATTTGCGATTCTGTGTCTGTTCGGGAGCGAAATGGAGGAGACCAAAGGGAACCCAGCTGAAATCAACAGGTTTTGCATCTGGGTTTTTACAGATTCTTGTTATCAGTTTCGGAATCTGTTTCTTGTACTGTTAAAAGAGTGATTACTTTCTTTTTTCTTTTTTCTTTTTTGTTTGATTGAGGGAAGGTTTCTTAAAGTAGGTCTGCTTTTTATGGCGGTGTAATTACTGAAATGTTGGATGGGGATCGAGATGGGTTTAAATTCTTTTGCATTGCTTAATGTTTTTATTAGCGTTGCTGTTACTATAATCCAATCAGGAAACAAAGAACAATCGTATACGGAAGTCTGATTTCTTTATTTCCTTAAATCAACTGATGGGGTCTGCGATTCTGCCTTATTGATATCGATCGACTTGTTATTGTTTTTAGCAAAATTTTGAACTGATTGAAAACTTGTAATATCGGATTTCTACGAGTTATAAGCCCCTTTTGACGAGCGGCTGTTCTAAGACCTTGTTTTGGTTGCTGGAACTCTTCTGCTTATCAAAATCTGTCCCAAAGATGGTATTATATTCACTATTATTCTGATTTATGTTTAAACATTTCATTGACTCCTCAGATAATTACGAAGTGATTTTGTCAATGTTTGCTGCTTCATCTCTTGTAGTTACTGTCTTGCATCTAAGTTGATGGAGGATTGCAGCTTTTGTCTTGATGGTCTCTTGTTCGATTTAAGTATGTCGATTTTTACTTTGCAGCTTCTATGTGATTTCTAAGCTCCGGAACAACCCTTTTGATTTGAACAAGAAGAGAAAGCTGCCAGCTGAACATTTGGGCTTGCCTTCACCGAAGCATAAACACTGCAGTGAAGGCTTCCCTTCTAAGTCTGCCTTCCCGTACAGTGGCGAACCCGAAACGGAACACATGAATGTACAATTCATAAAGGGGAATTCGAATGTAATGTGTTTTGGCAAGGGATCAAGGCCCGGGTCATCAAAAGATAGCAATAGCTTAAGCGAAGAGGCTGACTCTGCCACATCTGTGTTTCGTGGGGCAAAATTTGAACCGAGTTGTGATAGTTCTTCCTCCCAATCTATCAGTTGCGGCAGTGCAAGTTCTGAAAGCACCCAGTTCTCTCTTGAAAGTTCAACGGCAATGGAATCGAGTTCTACCGAACAGGAAGCAGCGTTCGTGGAGAATAGAATAGAAACGATCCACAAACTTCAGGAGCATATGCTAGAATTGGATAACCAAGAAGAATACAATTGTGCAGAATATGGAAATGATGACATTGAGCAATGCACAGACCAGGAACTCGAGGAACTTTTCTATTCGAACGGGTTAAACCAGAATACATACCTTCTTTCGTCGGGACGATGGGGCGTAAACCACGGTAATCAAGACATAATCATCCATAAGAATTTTAATTTTCTGAAGTAAATTGGTTTACATGTGCATTCATTTTTCTGATCTTATTTCTGTTTTCCCAATTTCGTGTTAGTCTGCCACATACTGAATCATATCCATTCTCTCAATGCAGAAGCTCAATCAAGAGCAATGACCCCAACCATCGATCAGGAATTTGAGCAATACTTTTCCATGCTGATGCTGTAGCCGTGATTGCTCAGTTCGAATACGAGCAACCCAAATGTATATATTTCAAACATGTGGTGAGTCTTTATGAATAACGAAGCGAATATTCCGATAATTATATGATGGAAATGGCATGTTTAACTATAGAGTTTCTCTTCTCTATCAAAAAACTTAACAGAGGCAGCAAAATGAAATGAAAGAAGAAAAAAAAAACAGATTCATTTGGAAGTAATTTTTGGGTAAAAGAGAAACTGGCCGATGCTATATTATACAAACAAGTAGCTCTTCTTTGTTGTGAAGCAAACAGAAAAAGGAAACACACGAGGAAGAGGGGGGAAGAAAAGAATATCGCAATTATTAAGTTAAAAAAGAAGACCCAAGAAGAAGAAGAACACAAGCAAAATTTGGTAAATCAAAAGTCTCTTAACACTTTGGAAGATCGGCCGGCGGCGGCGGCAGTTTCTGGTTCGGTTGCGGGCCGTCGAGGACAATCCACGCCATTCTCAGCCCCCAGCTCGTATGCACGTCCAAGTGACAGTGCATAAACCACACCCCTGTTTCACAACCAAAAATAAAAAATAAAAACTTTTTATTACATCTTAAACTTGAGATTATGTCGAATAAAATTTTTAACTTTAAAAGGAATTTTGTGTATGATTAAGTCATTGAACGGGCATCGGAGACACCTCACCTGGGTTGTCGGCGAAGAAACGAAAGGCGAGCCAGCCGCCGGCGGGGACGCCGGCGGTGTTCCTCTCAACCGGGTCGACAAGATTGAAGTTAGCTGGGTCCTTATTCGGGTCGAAATTTCCAAAACCTTCCCCAACGATGAAGAAATTAAATCCATGGAGATGAAGAGGGTGACTCTCCGCACCCAAAATACTCGTCCCCTGCAAAACGACCTCCACGCTCGAATTAAACGGCAACACCACCAAACTCGTACTGTTACTCAGAAAAGTATTATTCGGCGGCGTCCCGGTGTAATTGAACGGAAACAGAGGCTTCGCCGGAAAATCAGTCCGGTAAACCCCATTAGCCCGCCGCGTGAAATAGGCCTCCATAATCGCCGTCGACGGAAGGGCAAAAGAGACATTGTTGACAGAAGCGGCGAATTTCGTGCCATTGGGTCCTTGACACGTGGCGTTCTTGGGACAGGGGGCGGTTCCAAGTCCGGCGGTGAAGAAAAATTTCTTGTCCACCGTTTGGGGAACATTGGCAGGGAATTTCTCACTGGCCAGAGACCGTAATTTTCTGGAGAAATTCGCCACGAAATTCGTGTCATTAATTGCGGGAAGATTCGGCAGCAGACTCGGAATCTGACTCGCCGGCACGGCGGCCGAGGAGTGGCCGTATTGGAGGATTCCAACGGTGGTGGAATTGTCGAATGTGCCTTGGCCGGTGGCGTACGGCCGAGCCGCCATGAAGAAGGTGGCATTGGTGAGATTTGGTTTAGTTTTGAGAAGAACATTCGAGGTCTGGCCCGGGCTGAGGAGCACCACGTCGGTTTCAAAGGGCTTGACGTAGACGGCGTCGACGTCGACGACGGTGATGGTGTGGTTGGCGATACTGAAGAAGAGTTCGTCGTTGAGTGCAGCATTGATCAATCGGAGTAAATAAGTCTTCCCCGGCTTCACCTTGAGCTTAAATGTATCTGAAAGTAAAAAATGGCAAGAACAGAGCCTAAATAAAAGTAACAATTTCTTTGAAATTAGAGTGGTGGCTAGTGGGTACCTTTAGAAGAGCAATTATAGAGAAGGCCAGGGAGTCCATTAATGGTGTAAGCATCAGAAACATTAGGCCCTCCTCCGGTCTGAAGAGCCTGCTGAATCACACTCTCTGGGTCAACATTAAACCACTCCCCTGCATTTTCAAAACCGGATTCGAATCAGTGGAGAAAAGGGAAAACGACGACGATCTTTGGGTGGAAATTGGCGTCTATAATCTCACCGAAGATGATGGGGATTTCTCTGTGGGGCTTCTGGAAGGGATAGGAGTCGTTGCGGCGGGGGAGGATGACGATGGGGCCGTGAAGGGTGACTCGGAGCCAGGACAGGTGGGCGTGCCAGAGGAGCGTCCCTCTCTGGCCGGCGACGGTGAAATTGTAAGTGTAGGAGTGGCCGGTCTGGATGGGGCACTGGGTCACGTAGGCCGGGCCGTCGGCCCACCCGGTGCGGAGCTGCCGGACGCCGTGCCAGTGGATGGTCACGTTCTCCGCCACGTGGTTCACGACCTTGATCAGAACTCTGTCGCCTTCCCTCGCCACCAATGGCGGACCCGGTAACTGCCCGTTCACCGTTAGGATTTTCACCGTGTGGCACAGTCTCGTCGCGTTGTGGTACCTGATCTGAAAAGTGAAAACCCACCCAAATAAATTATTTAATAAATGCAAGTGAAAAATTTAAGGGTTCATAGTTATTTAAAAAATTGAATACCTTTTATTATATTTTCTTTCTATTCTGTATCAAATTTTTAGTAATAAAAAGTAGAAGAGTTACTTAGGAGGAAGCATTTAAAGTTTATTTATTCATGTGGGATGCGACTTTAGAAAAAAAAAAAAATTTGTTGTCATTAATTTAGTAATAATTGGCCCATATCTCTAATCACGTAGATTTGTTGTACTAAAAAAAAGTTAAAATTTTGTTAAACACCTAACCAAAATTTTATTTTAATTATTTTAATAAAAATGTGTAAAATGCAATAGAAGTATTTCGTATTTGGTTCAAATACAATTTCTCTATTTCAGTTTACACTTTGTTTTTTTGTTTTCTTAACTTTTTACAGTCTTAATTTATTTCTAAGAAAGGATAATTAGGAATATATTTAGGAATTATTATTGGTGATTTTTCCTTCAAAATATAAACATGAGAATGAAATAGAAATACGATTGTAACCATCAAATTTTTTTAGTACAACATGTAAGAATAGAACATCGAGTTGGAGATATATGCTAATATTATAGCTGAGCTATGCTTGCTTTGATCATTTGTAACGGTGTGTTTAGGTTAGTCTTAAGGAATTCTTAATATATATATATATATATATATATATATATATTTTTTTTTTTTTTTAAATATTTTTACATTTAAAAACATAATACTCAAAATTATTAAGTCATTTTAATTTTATAAAAAATATTTATCATACATTGTAGACTAATGTTAAATGATTAAAAAAAGACTTAAACATTTAGCTATAATAGTTATTTATTTTCAATTAGTCATAGCCCATTTTTTAGTTTCAAAAAATATTTCTGAAAAGGAAAACAAATTCAACTTATTCAAGTAGTTAAAAGAAATATTAGTAACAAGTCAAATATCCAATATTGTAATCTAAAGAAAATCAAGAAACAAAAAACAAATTACAAACTACGAGAGCCGCCATTTGTTATTTCTAAAAACAAAACAAAGCAAATTTATTTTAGGAGCAAAATCAAATTAAATGACATACATGGAAAGTGTAGTGTCTGGTTTTCCCAAATGCAAACTCCGGCAAGAAACACGACACAACACACAGAAACACAGCCAGAGCCGCCATTGATGAAGGCAAGTGGAGCTGGAGCTGGAGCTGGAGGGCAGCCATGGAAGTAGCTCTCTCTATATAATTCTGGTGTAGAAGAAGATGGGAAAATTGGGGTTTAATATATAGAGAAATTTAATTTTGATTAGGTAGAATATCTAATTTGGTGGAAATATAATTCTCTCTCGAGTCTCCCATGTTCCCAAGTGTCCCAAATGTTTTTTAGCTATGTTGGTCAAGTTTAATTTTAGAGTGTTGACTAAGTAATTAATTAAAATGGGTTTTGAAGGTAATTATCTGAATTTGATTACAGGTAATCTGAAGGATTAACGACCAAAATTATACCCTTTTCAAAAGTCTCTTATTTAATTTTCACACAATTAATTAAACCCATCATTAAGCTAAGAAATTAATGTACTACCTTTGTATTTCTTTAAAGTTAAGGAATTTCATCTTCAAATTTTCTCTGTCCCACTGTCCTCTTTTGTCCCTTTTTTCATTTGTAGACATCTATTTTAGCTTAAGTCATTTTCTATTCAATTGATATATACACGTACCTATACATACAGTTTCTAATTAACTTTAAAAAATTAAAAAAAAAATAGTTCTTCCTGCATATTATTTTACTACCTAACATTCAATACTTTTTTTTTTTTTTTTTTTACACAACAAGTGAGCGAGGATGGAGTATTCAAACATAGAATCTGTTTATGCAAAGGTCTGCACAATGACACTTTACGACCTAGCTCGAACGCGGTCTCTAGTTTGACCTGAACACAAGAGTGGACCTGCACAAGAGAGTAGACACTCCGACGCTCAAGTCAGGTCGGACTCCGTATTTAGTTCGAGGTGAGATTCCATACCTGAGCGTGAAATGAGGCCCTCTATTTATAGGTGGGGAATCCGACAGTACACACGACCGGCGGTTACATATTTTCTCTCATGTCGGACCTGTCGGGTTCCGAGTAGATCGAACCCCAATCAGATCGGACTTCGGCAGGTATACTTAGCCTGTTCCTAGTGGGTGAATCCGATTTCTTCGGCAGGTTCGAGTTGGACCTGGGACACTTAATCCTTGAATACCAGTAAGCGTCCTCCACGTGTCCGAGGTATTTTTACCCCCAAACAGAATCAAAATGATTGTTTTTTCTAATGCAATTGAAAATTTATGAACAATAATTAAAATGGGCAAACCCATTAATTTATAGACCAAAATAGATATTTTAAAAGTTGAAGCCACCAAAATGAGATTTAAGCTGGAATGATATTTTTTTTTATTTTTTTGTCAGCTTTGTGAGGTGGAACCCCTCCTTCCCATATTTTGAAGATATATAGTTAAATGTGCTACTTCCCTTCATTCTTAATTATACAGCCTCCAAATTGGGTGTCTCAATCACATATATGTATTTATTTTGCTTTTTCAATTGGCTTTGAAACTAAGGAACAGTTCAAACTCATCCCAAAACTTTCCAAACTCTTTTGCCCTTCATTCCATCCTTCCAAAAGAAAGCAAACTGTAGCTTTTGCATTAGGTTGAATAAGGTCCTCTTACAGTGACCCTCCATAATATTCTTTTTTTCTTCCTTTTCTAATTCCTTTTAAAACCTTCACGACAACATCTACACATAGAGAGATCGAACGACTCATTTTCGTTATATGAGTGTGATAAAGACGAATATTGAAATTTAATATTATGAAAAATGGAAACTTCGATATCTTAAAAATAGTTGGAGTTGAAAGAAGGGCATTCGCTAGATGGGTTTGGTTAGGGGAGAATTGGGATGATTTGAGATGAAGTAGTTTTCCAATTTCCACCAAGTTTGTTGGGAGCCCCTACAAGAACAAAGATGTTTCATCTAATTGGTCTTCCATTTTGCTCTTTTCAAAGAGTAGGGGAATTATTCAACGGTGCATTTTCTCTCATGTTCAGATGTCATTTTTGCTTAGGCCCTTTTTTTGGACACCAACACACAAACTTCATCCAATCCCCAGTTACCCCATCTTCCATGCAACTTTTCTCTCTCTTTTTTCTCTCTTCTCTCTACTTCTCGCTTATGCGGTGAGTTTAAACCAATATCGACAATACGACATATCTAAATTACAAGTTAGGTGGGTGTAATATAAAGTTAAAAAAGACGTTCGATGGATGTATTTAGTATGTGAGTTTATTTATGTTAGGGTTAGCACAAGCTATAGACTTTGACAAAAAGTATATTATCTAAGCTTGGGACTTATGAAACTCTATTTTTTACATAACTCGTTAATTTTTAAAAATCATTGTTGGACACAAAAATATGACATACTACGTGACGAGATATGGTCAAACTATCACCGAGCTCCTAAGCTCATCTATGGCTAAGCTCATAAGCTCCCCTATGGTCGAGCTCCTTAGCTCACCTATGGCCGAGTTTGAGCTACTAAGCTCACCTATGACCGACCTCAATCATTCCGACATATGGCTCGACATCTAATCGCCTTGTCGTAATGGTCATAACGGACGGGTCGTTTCACACCGCCTATAAAAGGATCTTCATTMTTCCTACTCAAGTATGCAATTCTACTCCGAGAATGACCTATTTGAGTTTGCATTTATACTGACTTGAGCGTCGGAGTGTTTAGTTTCTCTTTGCAGGTCCTATCTTACATGAGCTTGCACCTAAGTCAGCTCAGCCAGTTGCCACGCGGTCGACTTCAACAACTTGGCAGTATTTTGCATCGACAATCATAAATTCATTGACTAAACGCAACCACGATAACTAAGATTTTCATAATCTATTCTTCTATACAATCCAAACACATAGTAGCATTGAAATTGTGAGGCAAACGTTCTCATTTTAATCAAATACTAGCGTTGAATTGGTTTAGACATATTATATAAAATTAGTAGAACTTAATTATTAACTATATAAGTCTATTTCATTTATATAAAAATGGAAAATCAAGTGGGTGAGGGGAGAGGATTGGTCAACATGAAGGAAACCAAAAGCTTCCATCTTGAATTGTCATTTGCTCTCTATTTCTTTTGTGCTTTTCATTTATGCTATTTCATGAGTTGATCAACCTATCTTACATATTATTTTTTAGTGATTGTTTGATGCGGTGGAAAATGAATAAAAAAAAGGAGGGAAAAAAAAAACAAAGTGACTTAATTGTTAGTTCAGATTAAAAAAAGAAAAAAAAAAGACATGACCTAGACCTTTCTTTTCGTCAAAAGACAGTAATTATTGTTCCAAACTATATGGAATAGATTTTACCAAAAATTGATTGAAATTATTCCCTTTTCATGTTCCAAACAAATTTATTAATAATCATTGGTTTAATGTTTAGATGGATGAACCTTTGCAGTGATGTTACATGGTTTATATGTTATGAATTATTCTATTTTAAAGTTTAAGTTTTCATTAAAATCTATCTTTGTCTTCATTTAAATTAAATTTCGATGAAATTTAATTTTAACCTATGGCATGTGCTCAAAGTACAAATTCTATAAATAATTGGACAAAAGTTTAAATTACAGCCAAACCAAGCAAGCACCAAAAATATAAATGTATTCAAACTTTTAGTTTAGGTGCTTTTCAATGACTATGATTAAAATAGGGATTTAAACATTTACCTTAGGTTTTTCTTTTTCTTAACATACATTCGACGAGAATTCGAACCCGTGACTTTTTGGTGATTGAGCCAAGGTTAAAAGTGTACCCTCCAAATTTAATCAAATAAAATCCACAAACATGAAAGCTAACAACACATAAATCAAATTGGATTCCAACGTAAAACAAATAAACCCAGAAGAAGAGCACAAGAAGCCGCCACTAAAAATTTCAAACTTACCAAATTTTTCAACGAGTTTCTTCCATTACAGAATACAGACTCAGCAAAATTAAAGGGTCAGAAAATCCAAATCCAGACTGTTCTTCATTGGATTAGATCATCAAATACCCACTAAAAGCAAGCAACAACCACAAAATTAAAATGTATACACAATTAAGTAGAACAAACTACCAAATTTCTGGAAAAAAAAAACTCCAACAAATTAAAAGAACTCAAAATTAAAGAGAAAATCAAAGCTAAACACAGGCT